GAGGTTACGACGAGGAGACCGCGGTCTTTGTCCGCTCCTGCCTGGACGACAGCTCGTCGCTGGCGATGGCAGGCCGCGGGGCTTGGGGGCCGAGAGACGAGGCACTCGGGGGTCGTCAGTCGGCAGCTCCAGTAGCAGCCTGATCTGGGGCAGCAGCCAACGGGAGCAGGAAGGCGAGGGGGAGCAGCAGCAGCAGCGGGCGGAATGCCGAGAACGCAGCGGCAGAGTCAGGAGCTGCAGCGGCAGGATCAGGAGGATAAGGTTAAGTCGGGCCTGTCCCTCTTCAGGAGGAAAATTCAAAAATAGCAAAAATAGTCAGGGGACGATCCTTTTAGTATTTGTGTTTGATTTTTTGTTTTTGTTTTGTTTTGATTTTTTGTCTAACCCCCCCTGTAGAGGGGGGACATGCCCGACCTAAGGATAAGGAGAAGGTGGAGGAGGATGGGGAAGGAGCAGGCGGATGTCTGAGCTTTAAACGGGGTGTTTGCCACTGAGTGCCTCTCCTCCTCTTACTCCTCCTCTCTTCCTCCTCTTCGTCCGCCTCCTTCTCCTCCTCCTTCTTCTCCTGGTAGACAGCTCTCTCCACTGAGCTACCAGGCGCGTGCCGGCAGGGCTGGCCGAGCGGTTGCGTCTCGGAGTTCGTATTCACGACCTTGGTGCTCAGCATGCCTGCCATTAAATCGGGCCTGTCCCTCTACAGGGGGAATATTCAAAAATAGTCAAAAATAGTCCGGGGACTATTTCTTTAGCATTTTGGGGCATCTTTCGAGTATTTTTGGGTATTTTTCTCATCCAAAATCCCCCTGTAGGGGGACAGGCCCGACCTAAGCCTACTGGCAACGCGGATTGGAGCATGCCGGTTTGGGCAATCGTCATGGCGCCAACATCGCAGAGCGGACTTTGTTCGGAGAATCATAGGATGGGCCCGGAGTGTCCTGGAGAATTTCGTTCCGGATTTCGAGGTGAATTTCGTGCGTTTTTTTTGGTAGGCCATGAATGAAGGCAAAACATCCGCGCGAAATTCACTTCATTTTTCACTCGCCGTTTCGGGGAAAAATCCACGCAGAAGTCCGCTGCAGCACGTCTGCAAGGTTGGTGAACTGACAATCGCGTTTTCGTTTCGTTTTTCGTCTTCCCGTCGACATGGCCCCAGCGCTCACATTGCCAGATAGGTACACTTACGTACGCTCGCGGGCGCGTGTGTGTGTGTGTGCGTGTGTGTACGTATACGTGTCATTGTGCTTGCTTGCTTGCTTGCGCGCGTGTGTGTGTGTGTGTGTGTGTCCTATCTCTGCCCGCGACTGGCAGCCCACGGTGTGCCGCAGCAGCCTGGGCCTGCCTTCGAGGGCAGCGCAGGCGCCCGCAGCAGCACAGTGCACGGGCAAGCTGCCTTCGGTCGCCGGCGCCCGCGCTGGCGCTGCCGCCCCGCCCGCGGGGCTCGCTCCACAGGCGGGGCGCTCCTCCTCCCCGCCCGCTCCCCCGCCTCCCCTTACCAGCCTCGAACGTATCCCTATCCCTAAGATTGACACGCCAAAAGGCGATGACAATCTTAGGGATTCGCCCTCAAAAAATAAGGGAATCCCTAAGATTGTCATCGTGATGAGGAGGTGCCCAGCATAGGGATAGGGATATGTTCCAGGCTGGTGATCCCCCTCCGTTCGCTTTCCCCTCCGCCTCCCCCGCCTCCCTCGCGCGCCGCCATGGTGCTCGTGGGGCTGCCGCCGCTGGTGGCCTCCCCATGCGGTCGGGAGCCTGGGCCCGGTCTCGCCGCCTGACCTCGTCCGCGGGCCCAGCGCTTTGCCGGATGCAGCCCCGCCTGGACCGCACATGCACTCGCCGCGCCTCGTCGAGCGCCACCCACCTGGGCGGCCCTCGGCCCTCGCCCCTTGTCCCAGCACCTCGTGCGCTGCTGCGCCGGCTTCGCTGCTCCGCCTCTCTGCAGTGCCCGCCGCACTGGGCCCCGCCCGCGCCCGTGGGTGCCCGATGCCCCAGCGCCGCGGCCCGGCAGCTGCCATGGTCCCCGCCGGCGGGGCTGGCCGCGACCGCGTGTTCAGGTGCAGACCCGTCCGCCCCTGAGTGGCCTCGTCTCCCCCCCGCCCCCCCTCCGCGCGGCCGCCCGCCCTGCCGTTGTCCCCTCCTTGCGCGCTGGCCAAGTCGCTTGTCGGCTCCCCCGTCTAGCTCTTTCGCTGGTGCAGCCAAGCCTGCATCGAAAGTTTGCGTGTGTGCGTGTGTGCGCACGTGCGTGCGTGCGTGCGCTCGTGCGTGCGAGCGTGCGTGCGTGCGTGCGTGCGTGCGTGCGTGCGTGCGTGTGCGTGCGTGTGTGCGTTTTTTGTGTGCGTGTGCGCGTGTGTGTGTGTGTGTGTGTGTGTGTGTGTGTGTGTGTGCGTGTGCGTGTGCGTGTTTGTGTGTGCGCGTGTGTGTGAGAGAGTGGTTGTGTGTGGTGTCGTTGTTCGATATTGTGGTTTCGATCAGATTTTCACCATCAGTGGTAAGTTACCCTGAATCTCAACCTTCACAACAGCTTGGTAACAAAACATCTTCCTTGCACGTCACAGCTGTCGGGGGTCCCAAGTCCAGCTTTCCCAACCGAGCTCTCACGGAATGGGAGGGTGCCGAATTGACAGAGTGAGAGAGAGGCATTCGGAGGAATCAGCCACTGGTAAGCAGCAAATGCAGGATGCGGTTTCGAAGCCATCGTTGCTTCGCTGATGTTCAAGCATGCCCGAGGCAGGAGGGGGCAACACCTGAGACCCAAACACGTCTGCAGGTTGGCCTGCAAGGCATGCCGTTCTCAAGGTCTGCGTACCCGCGTCGGTGCAGTTTAACGTATATTTTACACATGACGTCGTAGCCCCCCTCGTGTACGTTGTGGCCCGTCAGCTTCTTTATTTTGACAACAGTGGGTTCGCACCGCTCCCGCCGTTTGGTTGGCGATCGGGTCGTTTGGGAATGGGCGGCCCTCGTGTGTCTGGCGCCGATGCGAGCTCAGTGCTCTCACGCGCCCTGCGGCCGTCCCGCTTCGACGAACCTGCGAACAGGCCGTGCGCAGCTCGACCAAGGGACCAGCCTGTCAACAGGGCCGCGCCCCCTGGCAGGGCCACGGGGTTCTGAGGGCCTCTGACCTCCTCAGGTTCGGGACGCGCGGCGGGGCCACGGTGTGGCCGCCCGCCCTTCCAGCACCCCCACGCGCTGGGCCCGCCGCGGGCCCATGCGGACGAGACCCTCGCCGTTTGAGTGGTCATTCGCCGCAATGAGAAGGCACGGCTCCGTGTACTTCTCGTGAGTGCACTTGGGGCGGCAGGCCGTACCTGAGTATCAATCTCCTGCCTCTCCCGTCCACAGTTCCTCACTGTCCTCATCATCCCCTTTCCTCCTCCGTCTTGATCCGCCATCCTCCGCTTTCTGCCCGCCCCTCTCCTGCTGCTGCTGCTGCTGCCCCTCCTTGACAAACACGTCCCTGCCTGGTGCGTAGGTCCACACTCGGGCGGGAAGGCCAATCTATGCCTGACCGCGAATGCCATGCAGGGAGGTGCAGGGACGGAGGAGGGGGGGTGGAGGAGGAGGAGGCCGAGGGGGAGGAGGAGGAGGAGGAGGAGGAGGAGGAGGAGGAGGAGGAGGAGGAGGAGGAGGAGGAGGAGAATGAGCAGGAGCAGTAAAAGGAAAAGGGAGACGGAGGGGGACGATACGTTGAAGGTGAGGGGGGTATGACTAGTATGAAGGGTGGGGGCGGAGCACGATCGCGCATCTGCTCGATACTAGCATTACTTGCAGTATACCTTATCATTGGTTTTGCTCATGCGCGTTGTCCGTCAGTGGACATGCAGTTCGAGAGTCACACCTCACGACGCTGTAAGAACGATCCTGTGTCGACTCAATCTAATTAGATTGTGTATTGCAGGAGGAGGGGGGATGTGCAAGGAGCAGGGGTGATGGGAATGGGGGGGGGGGGTCAGAGGAAGTGAAGAAGACGACGGGACGATGGACAGGGGGCATACGAAGGAATTGATGAGGTTGATGTTATTGTGGTTGTTGTGATTCTTCTTGATGGTGCTGATTCTGATGATGGTGATGATAACGACGGTGGTGGTGGTTTGTGTTGTTGTTGGTAGCGACGAGGATGAGGAGGACGAGGATATGTTGGTGATACTGCTGATGCTGATGCTGCTGATGATCATGAGGATCTCTGCAGATGGTGATGCTGTTGCTGATGATGATGGTGATGCTGTCGATGTCGATGATGATGTTGCTGATGATGCTGTTGATGATGTTGATGATGCTGATGATGATGCTGATGCGGCAGATGATGCTGATTATGATGACGATGATGGTGGTGGTGCTGCTGCTGACGATGATACTGATGATGCTGATGCTGATGGTGATGCTTCTGCTGATGATGCTGATGATGGTGGTGGTGGTGGTTCTGATGGCAGTGGCGACGATGGTGACGATCAGGATGGATATCACAGTTCTTATGAGGATGATGATGCTGATGCTGATGCTGACATTGATGCTGATGCTGATCGTGACGATAATGATCCTGCTGCTGCTGCTGATTTGATTGTGATGCTGAAGCTGAGAAGGAGGAGGTTCAGCAGGAGGATGAACAGGAGTAGAAGGATGAGAGGCAGGAGGGGGAGGAGGGGGAGGAGAAGGACGGCAGGCTGCGTCTCTACGAGACTCCAGAGCCTTTAGCAGCAGCAGGAGGAGGGCGGCCGTGCGGTCAGGCGACTTCCTGCGGTGCTGCATGTCCATCACGGATGCCAACGGGCACCCTCCGATTCGTGGGGTGATGGGGTAGCGGATCTCACGGCCGTCGGCGTCTTGGGGATCGCCGACATGGGCTCCTCCCCCCTATCCCCCCTCCTCATTCCACTTCTTCCGCTCCTGTGGTGTTGTCACGCGAGGTCATCTGGTGCATGCCGCGCGCACTTACGATCCATCGTCTCATTACACCTGCCCCATTGAACGAAACTGACTACAGGGCATGCGCATATATTGCTCGGGGGTTGACAGACCTCCTACCCTGACACGTCGATTAAGGAATTGGCCGTTTTTGGCTCGCGAGAGGGCGTCGCGGCCGTCATTTTTGCGGGTCCAGGTTCGTCGGTTTCGGTCCCAGGCCGTTTTCACTAAGGGGAGGTCTACTAAGGGAGGTTTGTCCACCGCCGAATTGCGACTTGGAGTGCTGGCTTGCGGTGGTGGGGACGGGGTTTCCCCGCTCCCGCTTTCGGGCCCCGCCCCGGGCGCTCCTCCTCTCTGCGGTGGCGGGACGGAGCTGCCGCGCTCCCCCCGCTCCTGGGCAGCGAGCGCGGACTTCTCGAGCAGGAGCGCGGGCTTTGTTGGACAGCTGTGATCGGCCCCATTTTCCACCACACGACCATCGGTAGGAGAAGGAGGAGGAGGAGGAGGAGGAGGAGGAGAAGAAGGAGGAGGAGGAGGAAAAGGACCTCCTTATCCTCCCTTCCCCCCCGTCCTACATCTGGTAGTGGTGGTGGAAATTTTGCCCATCAAGTTGGGTTCTGGCGGCGGGCGAGGAGCACCCGCCCTGCGGTTGCGCTGCTGTTGGGGGACCTGGTTCGGCGCGTCCCCGAGCACGAGCCCGGCCCTCTCGCTGCCCCTCCTGGGCCCTCCGCAGCCCTCGGTGGCCCGAAAGCTGCGCCAGGTACACGCAGCAGGGAAGAATGGTATTCCCCCCAGGAGGGGGTACGATCGAAGACGAGGATGGGGGGTATCCAGGGTTTGGGGAATTGTTGTCGATGTTGTTGTTGTTGTTGTTGTTGTTGTTGTTGTTGTTGTTGGTGTGGTTGTTGGTGTTGTTGTTATTGTTGTTGTTGTTGTTGTTGTTGTTGTTGTTGTTTTGGTTATTGTTGTTGTTGTTGTTGGTGTTGTTGCTGTTGTTGTTGTTGAGGGTGTTGCTGATGATGTTGTTTTGGTTGTTGTTGTTGCTGCTGCTGCTGTTATTGTTGTTGTTGCTGCTGCTGCTATGGTTGTTGTTGTTGTTGCTGCTGCTACTGTTGCTTGAGACTTCCTCGCAATTTAATCAACTTGCCAGAGGCCTAGCCACGACGACAAGGGCTCTTGCTCGATAGTTCCTCACGATTTACCTCCGAGAGCCGTTGGTCAGGAAGGTCACGGCGCTCACGCTCGAAAATTTCTCGTGGTTCAGTCAGATTGGTGGAGGCCCAACTGCGACGACAAGGTCTCGTTCGGTACTTCCTCAAGATAGATTCGCGAAGGCCCTTGCCAGAGAGGCCCCCGAACTCAAGAGTGGCGCTCTCGCTCGAGGCCTCTTGTAATTTGTAATTCGGGCAAGTTGGTGGAGGCCCGGACTGGGCGACAAGGGTTCCCGTTCGATATTTCTCCATAGGTATTCCGAGAGCCCCTGGCCAGAGAGGCCCCCGAACTCAGGAACGGCGCTCTCGCTCGAGACTTCCTCGCACTTCAGTCAGTGGCCGTGGCCGACAAGGAAGATATTCCACCCGAGAGGTGCAATCGAAGACGAGATGGGCGGGTGTCGAGGGTCGGGGTATACAGGATGTTGAGGGTGTCGAGGTGCAATCGAAGACACGCGTGCCAGTAAGAGCGAGCAGTCTTGAAATGATTATTGTTGTTGTTGTTGTTGTTGTTGTTGTTGTTGTTGAACATTATTTCTTCTTAAGAATAATTATTGTTGGGACCCCTGGTGCGCGACCCCCCCGCCGCGCCTAGGCCGCAGCCTCATTTTCATCATTTTCGTGAGGAAGTCTCAGGTAAAACGATGTCATCCAGATCCGGTTGTGTTGTTACGATCGGTTTTCCCTTGCAAAAAATCAGCTAAAGTGGACATTTCTTGTTCTAACATAACCAAACTTCAAGAATCCCTTGCAAAAAATAAGGTAAAGTGGACATTCGCGCGCGCAAGACGAAATCCTTCCAAAACCTTAGTTTTCGTAGCGATTTTAACATAAAAACATCAAAAAAACCAATGGTTTTTCAAAAAAAATGTCAAAATTTCATCCCGCGCGCTCTTGCGGATTCGTAGGAAACCCAACACTTTTTAAACATTTCTGTCAAACGGGCTTTTGCGAGCAACTTTTTCGAACTTCTGCAACAACGGTTGCGCACCTGCCAGGGCCATCATCCCTGTCAAATAATACCATGCGGGACACATTCGTTTTTTCTTCGCGCGCGCACGCCGTCGTCGTCGGCCGCGGGGCCCTGAATAGTAGCCACGGTCGTCCGCATGCCACGAAGTGAAGTGTCCGAACGTCATAGGGCGGGAAGCTGGGTGTGGGTGGTGGCGAAGAGTCGTTTGGAAATTTGGTAGAGCTTGAACCGGCCCCCCCACAAAGTGGGGGTATTGCCCGCCTCCTATGAAAACCCTGGCACTGGTGAGAACGGAGTGTCCCCACGTGCTAGTAATTGTTGTTGTTGTTGTTGTTGTTGTTGTTGTTGTTGTTGTTGAACTCATTACTCAAGAGTAATTATTGTTGATTCCCCCCCTCCGGTGACCATTGCGTTTTTTTGTCACTTGAAGTGCTTCTCCTGGGGCTCGCACCCGTTTTTTTTATCAGGGAACGACTCTAGGCTCAAACTGGGCCCTTGGCCCCCGAGTTACAACAACAACGGCCCGCGGGATACTTCTTCACAATTTATTCCCAAATCGCGCTTTCGCGCGGGATTTCCTCACAATTCATGCGCGCATTGCGCTCTCGCGTGGGACGCCCTCGCAATTTATTCAGACGATGCGCCCTCGGCGCTCAGGAATCATGCTCTCGCTGTGGCTTTTCTCACGATTTACTTGGGAATCGCGCTATCGCTCGAGACTTCCTCGCGATTCATGCAGGACCCACGCTTCAGCAACCCGCCTGCTCGACCTCGTCGCCTGGGCTCGCCTTCCCAACATGCCCGCTATGGGTCTGCCCATCCGATCTGCCCGTCTGGTTAAACCATTTGTTGTCTGCTCCTTGCTCCCCTCCTGCTAATTTCTCTCGTGCTCCATTCTTCTCCCTCCCCCTTCGACCCGTCCTCTTTTTCCTTGTTTTAGGGGCTGCGCTAAATGCACGTGGCAGGCAAGGAATACATACCCCCAAGGGGTTACGATCGAAGACGACGATGGCGGGTATCGAGGGTTTGGGATGTACGTATTGATTGGCACGTGAGCAGAGCAGGTAGGGGCGAAACGTCTTGAAATGGTTGTTGTTGTTGTGGTGGTGGTGGTGGTGGTGGTGGTAGTTGTTGAACATTATTAATTCTAAAGAATAATTATTGTTGGGACCCCTGGTGCACGGCCCCCCCGCCGCGCCTAGGCCGCAGCTACATTTTCATCATTTTTTCGCGAAAGCTTCAGAAAAGTGGATGGGGTCCAGATCCGGTTGTTTTGTTGTAATCCGTTTTCCCTTGCAAAAAACACTATAAAATGACATTTCTTGTTCTAATATAATCAAATTTCAAGAATCCCTTGCAAAAAATAAGGTAAAGTGGACATTCGCGCGCGCAAGACGAAATCCTTCCAAAAGCTTAGTGTTCGGAGCGATTTTAACATAAAAACATCAAAAAACCAATGGTTTTTCAACAAAAAAATGTCAAAATCTCATCCCGCGCGCTCTTGCGGATTCGTAGGAAACCCAACACTTTTTAAACATTTCTGTCAAACGGGCTTTTGCGAGCAACTTTTTCGAACTTCTGCGACAACGGTTGCGCACCTGCCAGGGCCATCATCCCTGTCAAATAATACCATGCGGGACACATTCGTTTTTTCTTCGCGCGCGCACGCCGAAATCTCCAAAAACCATTTGGGCTTCTTAAGAATTTTAGCACCGCGCATCATAAAATCACACGAATCGCACCGTAGGTCCTCGAAAAACACCTGCACGACTTTTCAAAATTTCTACCCGCGCGCGCTGTCCTAACAACTTCTGTGGGTGTGTACTCCACGCCAGTGTAGTAGCCACGGTCGTCCGCAGGCCACGAAGTGAAGTGTCCGAACGTCATAGGGCGGGAAGCTGGGTGTGGGTGGTGGCGAAGAGTCGTGTGGATATTTGGTAGAGCTTGCACTGCCCCCCCACAAAGTGGGGGTATTGGCTGGCGTCGCATGAAAACCCTGGCACTGGTGAGAACACTGAGCGTTCGGGTAAAGTGATTGTTGTTGTTGTTGTTGTTGTTGTTGTTGTTGTTGTTGTTGTTGTTGTTGAACATTATTACTTCTAAAGAATAATTATTGTTGGGGCCCCTGGTGCACGGCCCCCCCGCCGCGCCTAGGCCGCAGCCTCATTTTCATCATTTTCGTGAGGAAGTCTCAGGTAAAACGATGTGATCCAGATCCGGTTGTGTTGTTACGATCGGTTTTCCCTTGCAAAAATAAGCTAAAGTGGACATTTCTTGTTCTAACATAACCAAACTTCAAGAATCCCTTGCAAAAATAAGGTAAAGTGGACATTCGCGCGCGCAAGACGAAATCCTTCCAAAACCTTAGTGTTCGTAGCGATTTTAACATAAAAACATCAAAAAACCAATGTTTTTTTTTTTTTTTCAAAAAATTGCAAAATTTCATCCCGCGCGCTCTTGCGGATTCGTAGGAAACCCAACACTTTTTAAACATTTCTGTCAAACGGGCTTTTGCGAGCAACTTTTTCGAACTTCTGCAACAACGGTTGCGCACCTGCCAGGGCCATCATCCCTGTCAAATAATACCATGCGGGACACATTCGTTTTTTCTTCGCGCGCGCACGCCGTCGTCGTCGGCCGCGGGGCCCTGAATAGTAGCCACGGTCGTCCGCATGCCACGAAGTGAAGTGTCCGAACGTCATAGGGCGGGAAGCTGGGTGTGGGTGGTGGCGAAGAGTCGTTTGGAAATTTGGTAGAGCTTGAACCGGCCCCCCCCACAAAGTGGGGGTATTGCCCGCCTCCTATGAAAACCCTGGCACTGGTGAGAACGGTGTGTCCCCACGTGCTAGTAATTGTTGTTGTTGTTGTTGTTGTTGTTGTTGTTGTTGTTGTTGTTGTTGTTGTCGTTGTCGTTGTCGTTGTCGTTGTCGTTGTCGTTGTCGTTGTCGTTGTCGTTGTCGTCGTTGCTGCTGCTGCTGCTGCTGTTGTTGTTGTTGTTGTTGTTGTTGTTGTTGTTGTTGTCGTTGCTGTTGTTGTTGTTGTTGTTGTTGTTGTTGTTGTTGCTGAATATTCATTATGAAGCATATTATTGATGGTCACCAGAAGCGGTTCGGCGCGCTCTCGCCTCGACGCCGGCTACATTTTCTCTGATAACGAGGCTCCCGCTCGAGCGTTGGCTTGAATGTAAATGTGGGCCGTTGGAGGCCCAGCTACGACAAAAACGGCTCCCGCTCGATATTTCTTCACAATTTACTCCGAGACACCCTGGCCAGAAAGGCCCTCGAACTCATGAGCGGCGCTCTCGCTCGAGACTTCTTCGCAATTCAATCAAGTTGGCGGATGCCCAGCCACGACGACTAGGGCTCCTGCTCGACACTTTCTCACAATGTACCCCGAGACACCCTGGCCAGGGAGGCCCCCGAACTCAGGAGCGGCGCTCTCGCTCGAGACTTCCTCGCAATTCAATCAAGCTGGCGGAGGCCCAGCCACGACGACAAGGGCTCCTGCTCGATACTTCCTCACGGTTTGTTTCGAGAGCCCCTGGCCAAGAAGGCCCCCGAACTCATGAACGGCGCTCTCGCTCGAGACTTTCTCGTAATTTAGACAAGTTGGTTGAGGCCCGGACACGGCGACAAGGGTTCTCGTTCGATATTTCTCCACAGGTAGTCCGAGAGCCCCTGGCCAGAGAGGCCCCCGAACTTAGGAACGGCGCTCTCGCTCGAGACTTCCTCGCACTTCAGTCAGTGGTCGACATGGAAGAGATTCCCCCCCGAAATGGGGTGCAATCGAAGACGAAGTGGGCTGGTATCGAGGGTTGGGGAATACGGAATGCAAGACACGCGTGCCAGTAAGAGCGAACAGAGTTAAGATGATTGTTGTGGTTGTGGTTGTGGTTGTGGTTGTGGTTGTGGTTGTGGTTGTGGTTGTGGTTGTGGTTGTGGTTGTGGTTGTTGTTGTTGTTGTTGTTGTTGTTGTTGTTGTTGTTGTTGTTGTTGTTGTTGTTGTTGTTGTTGTTGTTGTTGTCGTGGTGGTTGTTGTTGTTGTGGTTGTGGTTGTGGTTGTGTTTTTTTGTCGCTGTGCTGCTGTTGTACTTCGGAATTCCTCCTCCTCCTCCTCCTCCTCCTCCTCCTCTCCAGACATCGCCCCGCAAACGAGTGCACCTCGCCCTGCCTCGCCCCGCCTCCTGCAGCCGCCCACCGCCGCGGCGGAAGGTACCTCGGCCGCTGCCACATGCACGTCTTCTCCGCCCGGCAGGCCGAGCTGCTGCTGCGGCGGTCGTTCGGCGGCCACTGCGCGGGCGCCCCCCGCTTCGCGAGGCTGCTGGACGTGGGCGCCGGGGACGGCCACGTCACGGGCGGGGCCCTCGGTGGGCAGGCTCCTCCTCGACGGCCTCCGCCCCGTTCTCCCCGGGTGTGCTGGCCTCGCGACCGGAAGGTCTCGACGGGCGTCCTGGCCCCAGGGCCCTCGCGGATCGATCCCGCCCGCGGGATGCCGCAGGGAGATCTTCCTGTGGGGTTGGGTCCTCGTGTCGAGGAGGGCAACGCGCGTCACCTCCTCCTCGCTGCTCTCCCCCCCCCCCCTGCCCTGCTCTCCTGTCCCCCTCCCCAGCCCCGCCTCTGCGCTCCGCTTGCCTGCCCGGTCGTGCACCTGAGCGGTGGGCGAGGGCTGGCCAGGGCCTCGGCGCGCCTGCCGCGAGGAAGAAGCCGAAGGCCACCACGCACACGTGCAGGAGAGGAAAAACACACACACACAGACACAATCAATCGGCGATCCCCAGAAAAAATGGGAAAATATGGGAAGTGGGGGGGAAGACAGAAACCCAGAAAGTATGGGAGAATATGGGGAATATTTTTATTTGTGTGTACTTATTTGTGTGTCCCAGTTCCCCTTCACACATGCAGGACCTGAGAAAACAGCGAGGAGAGAGCTGCCGTGGAGCGGATGGCCAGGGAGCCGACGAGCACCGCGAGGCACCACGGCGGACTGCACGACCGCGAGGCACGCCGTCCGCCCGAAGCCAGCGCCCAGTCTCGCCAGTCCCTTGGCGCGCAGGCCCAGCAAGTGGCCAAGCCGCGGGCAGCGCAGCAGAAAAGTTCTTGGGAATCATTCTCGAGTCTGTTCAGCTCGGCGGGGCACAGGAGGCGCGTGAGCCGCTGGCACTTGAACCCAATGGCGGTTCCGTGGAATACCAGGCTCACCCGACGCAGGGCGGCTTAAAATGATCAAGAACTCGTCCTGTGGGATATGATCTGGGTGCATGCACATTCGGTGCACCCCTCACACGTTTCGTGGCCCCGTAGAGAGTTCCACCACATGTCGTGCTGGCACAGTTCGCATGCGCCCCCCACGGTCATTTTGGCACACTATTCACGCGTTTGGTGGCCCCATAGGGAACTCCACCGAAGGTCCCGCTGGCACAGTTCGCATGCGTCACCCCCGCCCAATTCGGCACGCCACTCACGCGCTCATACGGCGCTCCACCGAACGTCCCAGGGAGACCCTCCATTCCAAACCGGCCGATCGGGGCTCCCGTGGGAAGGGTGTGAGGAGGGACGACTATCCCACACGCAGAGGAATCCGCAAGGGGTCGGCGAACTTTGTTGCTGATGGGATATTGACAATGCTCCTAGCTCTCATTATCGACGTCGTTGTCGGCATCGTCCTCCTCTTCCTCCGCCGCATCCTTTCATCCACCCACTCCATCCACCATCTCCACCTCTAGCTTTAAGTCGGGCCTGTCCCTCTACAGGAGGAATATTCCAAAATAGCACAAGAAATGGTGCGGGGACGATTCTGTGAGTATGTTGGAGTATTTCTTTTAATATGTTTTGACTTTTTTATTTATCGTCCACAATCGGCCTGTAGGGGGACTTGCCCGACCTAACTCTAGCCCCACCTTCTTCACCCTCATCACCATCACCACCATCGTTCCGTTGACCTTTGCGGTTCCGCGCCCGGGCCTCTGCCGAGATTTTTTTGGTGCTCCTCTCCACTGGAGCACACCCGAGGTCTCAAAACAGGGACGGGGTGGTCACGCGCAGGTTGTCCTGGGGCATCAAACTCCCGCATGGGCGATATCTGCCGACTAATTCATTCGGCAGGGTGTGCACCAAGCGCCACCCCGTCCTTACTGGGGTGCTTGCCCTTGAGGATCCTGCATTTTTGTACCTCAGGGTTGTTTCTCTTGGCGTGCCCTGAGTCCTCCGCAAGAGCATTGAAAGGACACATGGTCGTGATAGCTTTGCATCTCACGCACACGAACAAACCCGAACCATCCGAGCACTGCAACGAACGTAATACGGAACATATGGATGGAGGCGACTGCACTCAACTCGGGAGGAACGGAGCCAGAACAACCTTCAGACGAGGGCATGGTCGATTCGACAAGCATGAATTTAGCTTGCCTGCGAATCTTCAGGCACATTCTGCACCTCCAGCAGAATGTGCGTCACTTCCAGTCGTGGTGAACACTTTTCCTGGCCATGGACTTTGAAGCTGGCTTGCTATGGGCCAGCGGGCAGCCTTGCAGATCCAGCGCTGGCCAGAATGGCAGCAGACGGATGGCTGGGCGGCAAACGGCCTTGGCAACGTTCACCTTCGAACCCAGTGGGTGAAACGGGATGGCGTGCTTCGCTGCATGATCTGCAGCGTCGTTACCAAACTCCTCTAAGCGCAGCTGGGGTGCTAAACCTGTAGCGTATGTAACATGCATTTCCCGTTTGCGGGCCTAAGACACGCAAGCAGGCTGCGCAGTTATTATCGTGCCCGCATGTGTACTGTCGTAGCTGAGTTGCGGACTGCAAGGACGAGAGGTTTCACGAAGGCAGTCGGAGTAGCCCGACGTGGACCCTGAAAGATTCTGAGCCATCATCGCAAGGGCCCAAACTTCTCCTGTCTGAGGCGTCTGACGAATTGGGGCCTGTACTGTGCCGCCAACCAAGCACAGCTCCCGAGACTCCAGGCTTTAACTGCACACATCTCCTTGAGGGCCTGCGGAGCTCCACTCCCCAGAACAGGATCCGTGCCCACGAGGTTTTCGCCGTCCACGAGTCCCTGGTGCCACAAGTGAACCTTCAGAAACCTCTCGGGCCACACTGCTATGTGTACGTCCTCCCTGCCGTTGGCGTGGTAGTACGTCACCTGGATGCTCAAACAACCGTGCAGTGAAGAGCAATACTTCCTCAGCGTCTGGGAGATCGGCCGACTCTGACGCATGGATGATGGCTGGACCGATGAGTTCCATTCTCTTATCTGCAACTCTTGGGCACTTCACAAGCAGTGCCAGACTGAGTCTGGCGAGCTGCTGCCCGGGGGACTCTGAAGTGATGTCGCTTGATAATCTGATAACGGAATTGAATCGCATGATCCATTGTCCAAAGAGTCCCGGAATATTTGGATTTGACGCCACATCGAACCATACCCAGCAACTGACAGTTTGATTATTTTCTTCGACAGTTCCCAGCTGTTTCAAGACATATCCATGTAGCATCATGTTAGCCAGCGTGGACCACAATCAGTGGCTCCCTATAATATTTGCGGTGTTCTCTAGATTGTGCAATCAATGTGGCACAATCTAGGTGGTGCAATCCATATCGTGTCATCAGTGTGGCGTAAAGCAATGCAAAGCCGTGCTTTGCAATGCAAAGCACGGCAACGCAATTCAAAATTATCCCAGTGCGACCCTACCTAGGAGTTGGAGCCTCTAGGAAAGCAGCATTAGTAGGAGCGGTAAGCGCCGTCCTCCTTCTCCTCATCGTCGTAGTTGTAGCAGTAACGGTAGTAGTAGTAGTAGTAGTAGTAGTAGTCGTCGTCGTCGTCGTAGTCGTAGTAGTAGTAGTAGTAATAGTAGTAGTAGTAGTAGTAGTAGTAGTAGTAGTAGTAGTAGTAGTAGTAGTAGTAGTAGTAGTAGTAGGT